TGGTGCAAATACTTACACAATGAAGCACGTCTATTCAGCAAGTGATAAAAATATCAATAGGTAAAGTCAATTATTTTTCGAAATTCAACATAGATGTTACAGTTATTCTTCAGACTTTCGTTGTCAAACTTAGATATACGGCATAGTTGTTGTATTTTTCGAATCGGTGTTGATCGCATGTAAAAATGTTAGAAATCTTTGTAAAAAACTATATCTGTTAGATCGTAATTATTTCGATAATGTATGTTTGTTCGAAACACATACAGGAATACAGGGCTGTACATATTCACGTCTAGTGCAGAAGCTCTGTGACTTAAACGATATTCAATATAGCAACATAAATAGACGCATAAGCGGGAAGAGATGCGGGACGTGAAGTATTGATTTTGAGCATCGATCGACGCATTTTCTGGACAGGCCACAGTCGCACCGCTAAACAAGTCTCATAAATGTCTATTTCCAATTTAGGCGTTCATCTAACATAGTGTTCGCTGTAACACCAACCCTGAATAAAGTCAGTCAAGCTTTCCACACTTTTCAAATTACTATTGAGCAACAAACAGAACAAAAATCGCCTTTTTAAGTGCAATCTGTATAGCTAATATATTACTCAGACCTAGATTTGTCACAAGTCATAATAATCGTATATACATACGTATAAATCGTAAGAATTGTGATGTAAACATAAGTGATGTCAAAGAGGGACAGCGTTGGAATACCAAAGGATACCAAAAAATTCCATTGCTCAGTTCCTATAGCTATAACGTATAGTTAGTATGCCTCTGTCGCCATGATATGTCAGAAAGTAACACAATGGTGTTAAATTACAGAAGCAAGTGTCAGACGTCTAGAGGGGGGCCGTCACCCCCGTGCCCCTCCTAGATCCGTGACTGTCAGCAACAGTAATGTCGACGTAGAAATCACACCAATATGAGAGCAGTATCAAAACACGTCAGCGGCAACAGCATAAATAGACGGATTTTTGCAGAAAGGGCCCAACCCACTAATAAAATCTAGAGTTTAAAAAAATAAACTATTACGAGCAATACCATTTACTGTAAAAAAGGTCCATACACATTTTTAAAGCCTTGAGTATGCCATTAATTAAAATCGTGTTTGGTCTGAAATGAATCTGTTATCATTGTCAAAACTTTAAAGCCTAATTGCTCAATAATCGTTTTTCTGGGTTGCTTCCTTTCTGCAAAAATCCGTCCAAATAATCGTGGAAGGAACACGTATACCAGTTCGCCGGAAGACGATTAAAAATAACTTATCAATCGAAACATCGTGATCTCAAAAATTGTATAGACAATGGTAGTCCGAAATAAAATTTTTGATACAAATAATAAAATAAACAGAATCAGCTAAAGGGTGTTCAGATAAGGACGCTCGAAAGTTAAAATGGAAAAAAAAGGAAAAAAATTTAAGACAGCACTAAAAGTCTATATTGATCGTAAATAGCATTCGACGACATTATGTATGGAAGATTATATCGTTTAAATGGCCACCGCGACTGCGCTGTACAGCGTGCATTCGCATGGTCCAATTTTCGAGCACTTTTCCGCACATGTCAGCGTCTACCTGTCCGAGGACGCGAATGATGTTGGCCCTTAATGCTGCAATTGTTTGTGGCTTATCCGCATACACTTGAGACTTCACGTAGCCCCACAGGAAAAAGTCTAAAGGCGTTATATCGCACGATCTTGGTGGCCAGTGCACATCGCCGCCGCGCGAAATAATGAAACCGTTGAACTTTTCATGCACTAAATCCAGCGTTGCGCGTGCGGTGTGGCACGTAGCGCCGTCCTGCTGGAACCAGATGTCTGTTAGATCCATATCGTCCAGTTGAGGCCACAGGAAATCATTAATCATGGCGCGATACCGATCTCCATTGACCGTAAGCGCGTTGCCCATAGCGTCCTCAAAAAAATATGGACCGATTACGCCGCCAGCCCAGAAACCGCACCATACAGTCACTTTAGCAGGATGCATAGCAATTGAGCAAGTCACTTCAGGATTTTGGTCAGCCCATATACGGCAATTCTGTTTATTGACATACCCATTCATCCAGAAATGCGCCTCGTCGCTGAAGATGATTTTTCGTGCAAATGCAGGGTCGACTTGCAACTGCTCTAGAGCCCATGCGGCAAATGTACGGCGCTGTCCATGGTCTTGCGGTTTCAATTCTTACGTCAATTGAATTTTGTACGCGTGCAATTTCAAGTCTCGAAGCATAATTGTTCATGTTGAGGTCTTTGGAAGGGCAAGTTCTTGTGCACGTCGCCGCAATGACTGATTCGGGTCTTGACGCACGCTCTCTCGCACAGCAGCAATATTCTCGATTGTTCTTACTGTTCGTTGCCTGTTGTTTGGTCTGCCACTGAGCCAGTTCTCTCAAATTTATTGAGCAGACGTCGAATAGTGGACTCAGCAGGACGGCCATGCGCACCATAAATTGGACGCAATGCGCGGAACGTTTCACGAACCGAACATCTGTTTTGATGATAAATTTTCACAATTTCCACGCGTTGTTGAATCGTGTACTGCTCCATGATTAAATGTCAAGACTAACTTAATAACCTCACAAAATTTGACAGCTGTATCCCCACCGGTTTGGGCGCGCGCGCCGTATAAACATCGAGCGTCCCTATCTGAACACCCTTTAATTGTTCCTATGAAGCTATGTACGAGGTATATACATTAAGTGCTGAGGCTGATTTTTTAAAAATTTTTTATTCAAATATAATTATAATTTCATATTATCACCCTCAAAATAACTTCCTTCTGAATCCACACAGCGCTGGAATCTTCCACTTCTCATAGCAGTTAGGAACTCCGATACTGGCCGGTTACAGCCATTTGAATGTTTTCGACTGTCCCAAAATGAGTTCCTTTGAGGTGAATTTTAACTTCGGGAAGAGAAAAAAGGTACAAGGACTCGAATCAGACGAATAAGGAGGCTGACGAACCACAGGTATATTTTTGTAGACCAAAAACTCGTTTAATGACGTTGCTGTATCACAATTTAGCTCTTCCCTGACCATTCTGACTATCAACCAACGATCTGAACGCACAAGTTACATATTAAAATATTTTGATTAAAATGAAAAAATTCACAATTTTGAAAAAGTTAGTGGTGGGACAAATACATCAAAAAATATGACAGTTTTATTTCAAAAAACAAAAAGCATAAAGGTTTAATTACTTAAGAAGTATGCTAAAGGGCAAGGCAAAGTTTACATAATCCAACGTTACACATTGTACAAATAGTAGTGGTTCTAGAGCACAACGGACGCAGCGTCGTCTTTTTGCTGTTTCCACTGGCAAATGATCTCCGACATTTTTCATAACTTTGGCTCTTTTTGATGGTCTGCCATGATAGTTGCGTCGAAGTTTGACGGAAGTTTAGTTTTTCCCTTTTTCGATTAGATCTTCTGATAAAGAAAATAGAAATTCCAATTGGGGTATTTTCTTTTGGGTTCGGCGTAAGTCGTAATATATTACCCAGCTATTAACCACAGAAATCATCAGCAATCGATAAAATACCTTTTTCCACCATCTATATGATTTTCGATCCAAATCGTAAACACCGCTCAGCTGATCTGCGAGATCCACTCCACCCATTATTTCGTTATAAAATGCAATGGCGGTAGAGCATGGCACATCAATTTTTTCACCAATTTTGTCTTTTCTCTTCACACTTGCACTTGTTATGTCTGGACTATCACAATTACTCAGCACAATAACTACTTTCGTATCTTACTAGCTGGTTGCGAGATAGCTTGATTGATTCGTCAGAAACTCACATTCGCCTCTATTCATTTTTCGTCTTTCCTTAAATTTTTTTGGCATGTCTGTTCTCGTAAGAATGGCAGTTCCTACTGCTGGGTACTGAAGGGAGTCCATCAAATGCCAACACAACGTTCGGGTTTTTTATGGTCTCACATAGTTTTTTGACTACTGCTTCACCAAGGATTCCGTATCTTTCAACAACTTCTTTGCCGCAGTATACATTTGTGTCATATGTATATCCTGTTTTAGCGTCACATCTACACCATAATAATTGTATGCCTCTCTTTACTGGTTTTTGTGGCATATACTGCTTCAATGATGACCTTCCATTGAACCCAACCATGCTTTCGTCCATGCTTTGTCTCAAACTGTCAGATTGATACTTTTGAATAGTATATTTGAAACAGGATAGGAGTTCCTGTACGTAATATATTTTACTAGAGCCTTCTGGCTTTTTAGGGTCGTTAAAATAAAGTTTGGAAAGAAGGAACAAACATCTGTTTAGATATGGCCGATTTTATCGCTTGGTTTTCCAAGGATGGATGAGATGACCAGTATTGCCTAAGATTAGGTACTTTATTGTAGCAAATAACCAATGAGCAACCGAGAGTGATCATAATTTCTCCTGGATCAGTAAGGGCAGCAGACTTGTTGCGATTAAACATTTGAATTCTCTGGTTTGTACATTTAGCGACAGAAATAAACAAACTACGCGGGAAAAGTTTGTTGAATATTTCTAGGGGAGCAGAATTTGCGGTAATCGATGGGTCTATGGCACACTGAAATTCATACGGTATACTGAACCGTGGAATGTGAGCACCTTTTGTCGGTAGAGACCATATTACATTCCCACTCATAGCAGGAATTTCAACTTGTTCTCCTGAGCTTTCCGCAGTAATATTTCCTCCTTCTTCTTCAGTTTCACTACTATCATTTTGAGTATCTTCATCAGAACTAGAGGACGGCTTATACGATTCGTCTGACTCTCCACTGTTGTGAAATTGATCTTCTTCTGAAGATGACTCTTCAGAGGCAGTACTTAATTCATCTGAAGATATTTCGTCTAAATTCTCAGCGAAGTATTGAAGTTCAGCGTCAGTCAGCTTTTCATTTTTCTTTCTTGACATACTAAAAAAACCCATTGGGATATAAATAACCCAGTCAAAAAATTAATTATAAATGTATAAAAATGTTGCTCTAATAGACTCTCAACTTACCTGAAAAAATCACTCCAAAAAACCACACAGCAATGGCGAAATTTGTACAAAAACAGGACAAAAACCCGACCACGTGCTATTTCTGCGTTGTTTTCAAGTACACTGGACTGGTCCGCGCAAACTATGCCGCCGAGAACCTTGTTAATACTTCAGAATACCCATTAAAAACCATTCCTATGAAATACGGGACATATAAAGCACGGTGGGTGATTTTAAACCATACGTTGGGACTTATATGTCCCATTGGGGCTGAATGGGTTAAACCGCCGTATAACTTGGGCTCTCGACAAATCACTATTTCCGTAGGCCCTCTGAAGCCTAGCAAAAGCTTCCTTTGCACTGTGCCCAAGTCTAAAGTAAAATGTAATTAATTAAGTGAGTAAGTAATCTTTAGAACACAATATGAAAAACTGTTTCACAAAAAAAAATCGCTACGGACAATTACATGAGATGAGCGAGTTCAAACTTGTACTGAAGGCGGATCACATGTTCCCGTGTCTCCCCTCCAAGCCGGCGCCTTCACTGTTGCCAGATCTAACGATACGTTGCCAGTCTCATCACCTAATTTACACACCTCGTATACGAACATATTTTAAACCGTTCTCATGCCTCCATAACTAAATATAGACTGAACTGTAAGTAAAATAGAGATGCCTACGCGTAGGTGATCTTTCAACGTTCCGTCCTGATACACTCGGTTGGGTTCGCAAACAAAGTTTCCGCCCGATCTATTCCTAATAAGGGCCCTGGAAGACCTTTTTAAACATGCCCACGCCTACAATGATTCCATCTCTTTAGCGGCCCACCTTTCTCCTGTATTGGTTTCGTACAGATCTCTGCCGAAAATTGGTATTTTAAAGTAGATACGAGATACGAGGGCAACCCTTTCGTGCTTTTGAAATATGCTGGTCACGTCATTTATAGAAATTTTCGCAGGCTGTGTGAAATTTGGCGCAGCATTGTAAATAAAAGTTTACCTTTTACATAGAAATGATGCTTGTTTCATTTCGTAATAAGTATAAACAAAATATCCGCAGATTTAATAAAAAACTTTAGACTAGATCAGAAGTTCTCGAACTACTACCCAAGGTAAGACTATACTTTAGCGGATATCGCAAATACTTCATTTCTTACTTTAAAATGAAAAATTAGGATGTAACTTGCACGAAAATATCATTTTTTCTTTAAGGAACCCTCTGCTTGCTATTTTATAGAACTTCAAAGTTTCATTTCTGGTGGTAATACTCTAGAACGGAATACTGTTATATACGCTTTTTTTTGCTTTTTGCACAAAATGATGATCTAAATTATAAGAATAGAACATACACCGTAAGCACTAATGAAAAGAGATGTGAAACTGTAAAAAATCGTTGTTTTTTGCAAAAAAAGGTTCAAAATCAGCCGTATCTTAGCTTATTAGCTAAAATAATAGCCAAAATTCATACGTAAATGATGGTATTTTTTGGTAAACTGCATAGAGGTGTTGTGTTGTGCTTTTCCAAAGTCTTCTTGAAATTCCTTAACCATTTTTTTTCGAGTATTTTCAATGAGATCAAAGTTTTTGCGTTTATAAGAAATATTTGAAAGTACAAACAATTCTGAATGGCCATTTTATAACGTCCAATTCTTGACAGATAAGATAAATGATGCCCATTGTTGCCACGTTGTACCTTCTTTGGGAGAAATACGTGATAAAAAATGAGGTTATTTGCAAAATAGAAGTCTTAATTTATTGCAAATGGCTTGCTTTATGAGAAGTTAACCCAACATTTACAGAACTCTAGATGAAATTTTGAACAGTATGTGTCTAAACAGTGGAAAATGCAAAAGCGGCTTGCGTGACAGAAAATACAAAAGGCACCTCGCTAGGTCCACCCAACATATCATCGTCCAACATTATAGTTAAATAAAGATCAACGATCATTTCATCAAATCATCAAAAAACTTGCAATGTTCTTTGTTATGTTTTCTTTATTTAGTGATTGGTAACAGCTACTTTTTCAGTTATTTCTCATATACGAGTGTATATCATCACATTTAATTAGGTATATTTTGTGACATCAGGTTTACTTTAAATAATTCTTCAAGTACATACCTCCAAATCGGATTTTCATGACAATCCTGTGCCGATTGCACATTTTTGCGCTAGTATTTAAGTAAGAATTTGACAAACAAAATTATGATTTGGCAACATAGCAACTAGATGGAGAGAGTAGGATAGTGATGGTCGTGGATGGAGCGGTAGTGATGGGAATATTTATCTGAAATAAAAGAAATTACTACTTCACAATGAACTATTTTCATCATTAAAATAATGCAAAATTGCATTATTGCGATGAACGGTGTCACAGTAATTTACATTGTATGTTATATTCGTATAATAGAGTACCTGTTTGGTCTGGCTTCATGCAAAATAGAGATTCAAGGACAAAATCGGCAAGAGATAAACATCATGGCCGACGCAAGATCAGTAGCGAATTAAGAGCTTCTAGGCCACACAGTACCGTCTCTGAAAAGTATAGGTACTTTTATTGTTACAATCTGATTATAATATAAACATATAAATATAATATAAATATTATAATATAAATTTTTACTCATATATTACGTTTTTATTGATAAAGCTTATTTCTCTTTTCTTTGTCTTTAGTATCTTTAAAAAAATTATATAGATGTTTTAACAAATTAGTAAACTGTGGTTAGGTAATGCTTTTATATTTTTGTCTTTTAGATATAGGTTTTTAAAATTAAAAAAAAAATGGTAACGCCTTGTATATTTTAATAGCTTTACATATAAGTATTCAACGTTTTGCTCCTAAATTGTATAGTTTCTTCAATAAACATTTATTATTGTTATTATTATTATTATTATTATTATTATTATTATTATTATTATTATTATTATTATTATTATAGTGCGAGAGTACAACACAGATACACCGGTTTTTCATAAGTATCGAAACAGATTAAAATTAAACTCCTTAAAAGAAGGACAACTAATTTCACATATATTTTACAAGAACATAATATAATGACCTTTTACATATTTGGCTATTATCCATGTTGTATAACTGGCACAACTTGAAAATAATCATTACGATGATGTCTGCTGTCACATCCATTATTTTTACCACCAGGACAAAATCGATGAAAAGGACTAACAAGTCACTTTCAGCCAAAAAAGAACCTTTAAAGATTCTATTCGAGTTTACAGTTTTATCCTTCTATTATCTGTTATACGGTGTACAAATTATTTCATTCAATAAAATTTAAAATTCAAAATGAAAAAAAATTGTTAACGATTGTATATTTTAATAGCTTTTTCTATGAATATACAATGTCATATAGGTAAACACGTGCTAGCAGGGCAGTGATATGTTGAAAGTGTTGGATCTCAATATGAATATTCCCCACGCACAAGCATTTGCTTTTTGTGGTGTTGTGTATGTTTATTGCTATGGTTTTTTTCCTTTGCCCCTAAATTGTAATTTTCTTCAATAAATATTGTTATGTGTTATGAGAGTGTAAACGTTATGGTAGTCATTATTGAAATGGGTAATAGGGGGGGTCAAAACAAGTCAAAAAGTTCATATGACCCATGGTCCAAAAGTCAATAGATTTTTGTCTAAATGGCTGTATAGTTTACAACTTTGAGTGCCTTATATCGACCACAATCACCACAATCTTACTAATTCTTATAATCTGATCTAAAACGTTTTTAAATTGGGTAATTTTCAAATAAATTGCATTAAGTTTTTCTAAGTTAAGCCAAAATTTGTAGTCAGTAAGTAAATTTCATTAAATTAAATATTTAAAACACACATGACAACAGCGCGTCGGTTTTTCATGACTCTTATCTTACCGGCAATCGATCGCAAACGGTAACAGTGGTTAGTTATCGTTTTGCATAGCATCGGGGGTGTTGTTTTGTTTTTGTTCACGTAAGTCGTCATTCTCGTACAATGTTCTCGAATCAAGAGTTCGCCGCTGTTGTTAGTTTACGGTGAAGCTCGTCAGAATTCAAATCTTGCAGCTCAAATTTATCGCGACTGATTTCGCAGACGGGTACACCCAGACAGAAGGACATTTGTGCAAGTGTACTAAAGACTTCGAGATATAGAAAGTGTTCAGCCCACTAATATTCGCACTCGTGAAAGACAGGTTACTGTAGAGCAGGAGGAATAAATTTTAAATATCGAGGAAATCAATGCAGATATCAGCACTCGGGAATTAGGCCGCCGCGTAGGACTAACGCATACCCTAGTCTATAGAATCCTACGCGGAAATTTTCTTTATCCCTACCATGTACAACGAGTGCAGGCCTTGTTACCAAAAGACTATCCTCGCAGACTAACATTCTGTTAGTGGTTTTTGCACCAAAACATTGAAAATCCAGATTTTTTCAAAAACATTCCAGCGACGGACGAATTTACTTTTACGCGAGACGGGATATTAAATTTCCACAATACTCGCACGTTGGCCTAAGGAAATTCTCATACCATTTGTGAAGGTCATTTCCAACAACGTTTTAAAATAAATTTTGGGCGGGTATTCTTGACCATCGGGTAATTGGTGCTTTCGAGTTACCCCCAAAGTTGTCAGGAGAAGGATACCTTAGCTTTCTAGCCAATAACCTACCAGAACTTTTGGAACAGACCTTAGACAACATGCCATTACAACGGAGACAGAATTTGTGGTTTCTTCATGACGGGGCACCACCACACATTTTTAGAGGCGTCATTTAGTATTTGAATGAACATTATCCAAATCGCTGGATCGGTCGAAAAGCTCCTGATCCATGAAAATGGCCAGCATTATCTCCTGACCTCAATCCGATGGATTTCTGGTAGTGAGGAGAACTTAAAGGGATGGTTTATGGGGCTGGTCCAATAACAACTGAAGCACAACTTCGCGAAAAAAAATTGAATGCGGCTGAAGTAATAAATGGACAACTTCGAGGACCTAGAGTAAGAAGAAACTGGGTTCGTCGTAATGAAGCTTATGTGGAAAGTGGAGGAGGACATTTTGAACACCTTCTTTAAATACAAAAAAAGTACAGTGTTGGTTTCAAAAAGAAAAACAATGTATGTATCAAAATTGTGTTCCCTATTTATAAGTGGATTAATTAATACGTTCAATAAACACCAGGGGAAGTGCTGAGATAGTTAGTGGTAAGTTTACGAGTACATTGCGAAATAATGAAATAATACCTAAGAGCCAAAAATAACAAACCCCATCTTTATTTACACTGCGTTTCGTCGTAATTTGCGTCTGGCATTGCGGCGTTGTCAGATTTTATTTTACTTTAAAGTCGCTTTTCTCTGAAAAAATGTTATATGAATCTTTTTGCTTCTTTGAAGCCCCTCTATCACCCTTTTAAATAATGGCTTTCATAACGTTTACACCCTGAATATTATAATATGTCTGTAACTTGTAACAAAGTATTTCCGTTTTTTTCTCTTTATATTACAAACACTCCGCTGTTAAAGACAGACTTTATATCTATGTGTGAAGAAGATGCATGTATGAAAGTAATTCCTGTAGTTTTACTTTTACCCGCCAAAAATCGTAAAACGATCTATATTTGGCTTCACCTTTTTCATTATATCAATCAATCAATCAATCAATAACCTTTATCTCTATACAGACAATATATAATTGTATTGGAATTGTCAATTTTTCGTTCGCTACAAATCTACAACTAATCTGAAATTGCAATGTTCAAAAATTGATCAACACGATAAAAGCACTTGTTTATCAAAAACTGCTTCAACTGGAACTTGAAGTCGTTAATATTTTCAACCGAGGTAATGTGGCATGGTAAATTATTAAAAAGAAGACCAATTTTATTAGGTGATCAAAATGCCGCTTTTGATTTGCTGAAGTTTACATATAAATTATTACAAATCCTTGTATCATAATTATGCATATCGCAATTCCGCTTGAATTTTTCATTATTTTTAAAAACATGTAAGCACAATTCATATATATATATACAACGAAGGGACAGTTAAAATGTTGAAACTTATAAAATATTTTTTGCAACTTTCTGCTGTTGAGATATCTGCTAATGATCGGATTCATCTTTTTTGAGACACAAATACATCTTCAGAGCGCGTTGAACAACCCCAGAAACATACTCCATATCTTAATCTTGAATCCACATTAGCAAAATAAACTTGTATCAATTGTTCAGCTGTTAAGATGGTTTTTAATTGCTTTGAGAGTACATTTTTGATGTGAGAAATTCGCAGTGGGCCTTCCAATTTAAGTTCGAATCAAAATGAACTCCAAGAAATTTCACCCAATCTAACTTGAAACTCTTCTACAGTTTTTTGAGCATGATGAAAACGAATAAGCGTTGTTTTGGAAGGAGTCAAGGAAAGTGAGTACTGGTTAAACCATGTATTGATATTCCTAATGAAGTTGTTACATTTATTTTCCAAAATTATATTTGAATTACTTGATATTATGGCAGAAACGTCATCAGCATATGCTGTGAAATGGGTATCTGGATGAACATTATCAAACTGATTAATGTATAAGAGGAAAAAGATTGGTCCAAGAATAGAACCCTGGGGGACTCCAATTGAGATGTCTAACGTACTTGACCCAAAGTTTTTCATATTGTTCCCTGCATCAAGATATTGTACTGAAACATATTGTTTTCTTTGGACTAAAAACGATCTGGCCCATTTAAGAGACTGACCGACAAAACCATATTTAACAACAATCTCCATAAATTTGTTGTGATCAACGCAGTTGAATGCCCTACTGAGATCACAAAATACCGGGCACTCGCCCGCGTCGATGTATTCTATAAGCTTCTCATAAAAGGAATGTATGGCTGACATTGTGGTCTTACCATCTGTGAAACCATGCTGGTTTTGAGACAAAATATTGCTGGTCTCAAGATGTAGAAGAAGTCTATCCAAAAAGGCATATTCAAACACTTTAGAAAGTACAGACGGCACAGTGATCGCCCTGAAGTTTGTAATATCAAGCTCGTTCCCCTTTTTTAGAATTGGTATAACTTTGCCTAGTTTCAGCCTACTTGGGAATTCTCCGCGGCAAAATGAGATATTTATAAGGTGTGTTATTGGTTTTATTATAAGATGTAGTACTTCTTTTACCAGAAAATTGGGAATGTCGTCAAAACCGCAAGATTTGAAATTTTTTAATTTTTTCAAAAGCAAGTTACTGAGCTCATTATCTGTATAAGGGTAAAGTTTGAAATAATTTATGACATTAAATTTAAAATCAGGTGCACTCTCTGAGGTATTAATTTTTTGTATTATATCATCTGGAGCATTTTTAAAAAAATCATTGAACATATTTGCCAACAGCTGAGGGTCGTTCACCTTTTCATTTTGATCTTTATGTAGAACTATATTTTTTCGAACTTTGTTCTCATTTTTAGTTGCATTGACCACTTGCCAGCACGCTTTGGTGGTATTTTTAGACAATACTTTCATCCTCGTCCGTAAAATCTTTATGCAGCGCCACTGATCCAATGCATGCGAGCCGCAATGGACGTCTTCGGTAGCCATTCGGAAGTAGAAACACCTGAGCTTCGTACGATTAATTTAGAATGCCTAGATCTCTAGATTTGATTTAATTAAATTTGAAACTACTAGATTGATAGAGCTCGCTTACGTTCAGTAAAGGGCGTTTTTCACCATGAAGAATAGGAAACTTGTTATTCAGACGTGGGTTAAATAGAAACGGACCTTTGAAATTAAGGTTTTGCTGCATAAATCAGTTTGAGATTGGTAAGCGACAAGGGACAGGTGAATGTTGAAGTGTGCCCCGTTTATTTCTAGGATGCGTGCAGAAGAGATGATTAGATTTTTACCTGAAAGAGATTTCAACTAGTTTTTACGCTCAAATAGTCCACAACATTTGAGATTTGCGATTCTATCACTTAACTCAGACCTATGTTATTATTTTAACACTTTATACCTCCACTTGGTAGACTGCCAAGCATGTCAACAGTTAGTTGTGTGATGGCCGTAAGACGTTACTTGGTTAAATAACTGAAAAAGTTGAAAGCGCATAGATGTTTCAATGCATTCATAAAGAAAGATTCTCTTTATACGCAAAAATCTAGGAAGACGAAGTCGTAAAGCGGAAAACATTTCAACAGTGTTGTTATGTATAGGAATACTCATAACAACAATGCTTTTGAATGGGATTTACAAGGTTTTCGATAATCTGGAATCTCCTCGGGAATCACCGGATACAATATCCATTTTTGAACATATCCCTTTTACGGAACACATTCGCCATTTTTGTAAGAATAGTTGTGTCTGCTTTTTGTTTATTTTTTATATACGTACGTCAACGTGGTAAATTGAGTAGAATCACATTTTTGCGAGACGGAATAACAGAAATAACGTATAGTTGCTTGTTGTTTATTTTTTTCATATGCACCCATCCATATTGTAAGTTGAGTAGAATAGTAGAATTACATCATAAAGTTCATCGTTAAGGAAAATCATAGGTGCCATTTCCGATTCAAATCTATTTTATTATAGCTTTTTTTGAAAAATGTAACAACCGCATTGCAAATAAACCTTTAAGTCTACCTAGATATTATTTATCCTCTTTCACAAAGAAAATTATACACAATTTGCACAGGGTGACACATTCACCATAATTCATAATACACTTATAGCAAGATGGTGGATGCGCCTTTTCGCCGATCATATTCCTGAAAGTTGAAAGTTTTGTTTTAGGCCAAGTTTGTTATACTCGGTGACAAAGAAAATAGAACATCCAGTATTAATGATTTTATTTGAGTGGTCTTTTGTATACACCTGGACATAAGCAAGAGGAAGCCGTGATAAAATTTTGGATTCAAATAATTTTGCGGTACGAGGGATGTCTTTTAAGTTTTACATATAGAAACATAGTAGGCCGCGCGGATCGAACGTCAGTACTGAATCTTAACCTCACTCTTTAGTAAACTTAAATTGACAGTTTCACAACAGTACGTGCAGTGTTCTCACTACAGTGAATTTTTATGTGTCACCAAGTCATTAGAAAAATGGAACTCAACCGAGAACATTTTCGCGCCATAATTTATTACAACTTTCAGAGACAATTATCGCAACAAGAATGCGTTGCTGAGTTTCTGTCTGTTTTCGGCAACGAAGCGCCACATCAGTCGACAATTTCCCGTTGGTATGGAGAATTCAAACGTGGACGAGTGAGTCTTAGCGACGATCCCAGGGCGGGTGCTCTGCGCAAACGCATCATTGAAGATATACGTGTGACATATAGCGAGATTGAGGCGTCCTTGAAGATCTCAAAGACCTCAATTCAAAAAATTTTACATGAAGAATTACTAGTAAGGAAATTAGTTTCTTGTTGGATACCCCACCTGTTGACTGAAGAGCAGAAAGCAGCCAGGGTTAATTGGTGTCAAAAAACGCTTGACCGTTTCAATTCCGGAAACTCAAAAAATGTGTACAGCATTGTTAGTGGTGATGAATCGTGGATTTACTGTTATGAACTAGAAAATAAACGACAGTCGGCTGTTTGGGTGTTCCAAGGTGAAGAAAGACCAACAGAAGTCTCGTTCTCGAAGTGTTTCGAACAAGATGGTCGCGACATTTGTGTCAAAAGCGGGTCATATTGCAACAATTCCTCTTAATGAGCAAAGAACTGTTACTGTGGATTGGTATACCACCATTTGTTTGCCAAAAGTCATCACCGAGCTTCGAAAAATCAACAACGAAAGAAGAATCATCATCCACCAAGACAATGCAAGCTCGCACACAGCCCAAAAAACAAGGAAGAAAACGTGGAATTATTGGACCAACCTCCATATAGTCCCGATCTAGGTCCTAACGCTTTCTTTACTTTCCCGAAAATTAAAAACAGACTGGGTGGTCAAAGGTTCCAGTCACCAGAAGAAACAGTTGACGGATTCAAAAATGCCGTTTTGGATCTGCCAGCAAACGAGTGGATTAAGTGCTTCGAAAATTGGTTCGAGCGCATGCAGATGTGTATTAATCTTCGTAGAGAATACTTCGAAAAACAATAAAGTCATTTAAAACTACCTACCGTGTTGTTTTATTTCCATATGCAAAACTTAAAAGACATCCCTCGATCGATAGATTTTGCTAATAATGATATCTGATCCCAAGCTAGTTATAATTGGTTCCGAAGGGCTTCTAGCTCTTGTGGAGGATGAAATAAAGAGGCTACTCGTCTTCTCTCCATATCCAACACATGTTCAGTGAGCTTTCAGTATTTCCTGAATATTTTTTTATACTGAAGCAGCCGCGTAGACAGACACCTAAATACTAGAGCAGACTGCTATGAGAGGCTTAAATTCATCTTTTTAATTCGATTTTTGAACTACATAAGAAAGCGGCAGATTGTTCGACAATCTCGACACCTTAGGAACAAAGGAGCGGTCGTACCGGCCGGTTCTTCATCTAACAAGTTTGACAGTGTACAATGGGAATCAGAAGCCTGGCGTGTCCATCTGGCAGGCTCAACGCCGGGCGGCATCTTGGAGATCTCTTAGGAGCAAAGCCCGTTGGCGGTGCATTTGCAGTAAAGAGGATGTAAGTAAGGAGAAAAGAAAACAAATATAATGACTGAAGGATAAACGTTGTCTGCTAGAAATTCGACAACTGCTTTCGCTGTAGTGTTGTTTATGTACAATCAAAGTTTGAACTCGATTTCCTTATAAGGGCAACAGCATCAATAATGGTTACGGTGAATAGGAGTATAATCATTTACATTTATGGACGCATCAAGGCATCATTAAAGTCAAATCCACGTTTTGTGTGGCAAGTTAGGACTTTTTCAAATCAGGCAGCCACGGATGCAAGATCTAAACATTGAGGTAACGTGATTGTGAAAAAAATAAGTTAGAGATAGCTTGTTGATTTAAATTTGGAATTGTAAAAATCAGTAGTAGTCTCTTGGTAGATCATTCGATATTCTCGAGACTCTAGGGGCGAAGGAATTATCATACTTTCTTTTTATACTGAAGCAGTCGCGTAGACCGAAACCTAAGGGCTGTATCTTCAGTCGTTGCTACAATTTTATTGTATGACGCCTTTATGGTCTCCTTGATTTTCATAGTCTTTCTCTCCTTCAAAAATTTCTAGATTGCACCTATTCCGTGTCAGCGTCAGCGCTCTCCTATTGTGAAGTTATGTTTTCTTTTTTCTTTTTGAATTGTAGGAAATTTCAGGCTGATGATATATATCAAAAGCATGATCAATTTGATGTAATAGTTATTTGTAACATAACCGTAAAATACAACGCTGACACAGAATAGTAGAAAGCTATGGAAATCAAGAAGCCCATAAAGGTATCCTACATTTGTAGAAACGACTTAGGACACGGCCCTAAATACCAGGGCAACGCGACTTCTTTAAAGGACTTAATGGCGCCTCGTTAATCCGAGTTTTGAACTGCCTGAGGTTAGCAGCACTGGGAAAAATCTGCTCAGGCAGATTGTTTCACAACCTCGACACCCTAGGCACAAACGAGTGGTAGTACCGGCCAGTCCTTGATGTGAAAAGCTCGACAGAGTTAACGCGTTATCATAGCGGTAGATGAGGGCAAGATTGGACACCACCTGTTACTGCGAAAGTGTCCCGAGACTATCCGTTAGAGAAGTGCTATCAATCAATCGGTAAATACAGCGACTGGCATTGTCTTGTTGGAAAATGGGGCTCTTAAGCGTTTGGAGAAATGGGAAAAGATGGGGTTGCAGTGTTTCCTGAAGATACAGTCATACTCCTTCTAACAGAAACTAGAGCTAACTTATCGCCATATTTAGTGGCACACCAAACCATAACTCCTACAGTTTGGGGCATATGACGTTCAAATGGAAACTGTGCATAATTTCTTACTCCGCGATGATTTCTGACTCGTGTCTGTCCATGATGTATTCCAAAACAGAACCAAAATCAAGAAAATTAGGATGAAGAAAGGTATAACATGTCTTTAGTGATGATCTTGGCTCTGTTTACGGGAATGCATTATGTATGGGTACGAGCCAGACGGCGTCAGAGTGAGAATGTAAATCTTCTTCTTCAGTTAAAATCCACGTTTACCATACTGTAGGATTTAAGGTTTTGGGTGTCATTAGTTATGGTTTTAAGTCGTCCCTAGTTTTCATTAGAGGGAGTATGACGGCGCTACGATATTTGTAGGAAATACTTAAGCTCCATCTTTTGCCTTTTTGTCTTCATGCTTGAAAGCCATATTTTCAAACAAGAGCCCTGCCTTCAAATTTCTAGATCCGTAGTAGAGTCTTCTGCCTCAACCTCCTAGACCTTATAAACTTTATCCTACTGAACTTGTGTCGGATATGATTCAAAGTCGAGTTACCTCTTTTATCTCATTCTTCATAAAACAAGCAGCTTTTCGGAAGCAAGTAGGAGTCAGAAACACATCTCGTCAATAGCGGCAGCTGCTGGAAAAAACTGGGCTATTAGTTTAGAGCTAAGAAGTACTTTTCTCCATATGATCTCCTCATTCTGCATAAGGCCCAGATAAGATCTAACCTCGAGTACTGCTTGCTCACCACCCGTTACTGCGAAAGTGTCCCGAGACTGTCCGTTAGAAAAGTGCTATCGATCAATCGGTAAATATACCGACTGGCATTGTCTTGTTGGAAAATGGGGCTCTCAAGCGTTTGGAGGAAAGGGAAAAGATGGGGTTGCAGTGTTTCCTGAAGATACAGTCATACTCCTTCTAATGGAAACTAGAACTTATCACCATATTTAGTGGCACACCAAACCATAACTCCTTCAGTTTGGGGCATATGATGTTCAAATGGAAACTGTGCATAACTTCTTACTCCGCGATGATTTCTGACTCGTGTCTGTCAATGATGTATTCCAAAACAGAACCAAAATCAAGAAAATTAGGATGAGGAATGGTATAACATGTCTTTAGTGATGATCTTGGCTCTGTTTAGGGGAATGCATTATGTATGGGTACGAGCCAGACGGCGTCAGAGTAAGAATGTAAATCTTCTTCTTCAGTTAAAAGCCACGTTTACCATACTGTAGGATTTAAGGTTTTGGGTGTCATTAGTTATGGTTTTGAGTCGGCCCTAGTTTTCATTAGAGGGAGTACGACGGCGCTACGATATATGTAGGAAATACTTAAGCTCCATCTTTTGCCTTTTTGTCTTAACGCTTGAAAGCCATATTTTCAAACAAGAGCCCTGCCTTCAAATGGCTAGAGCCGTAGTAGAGCCTTCTGCCTCAGCCTCCTAGATCTCATAAACTTTCCCGTACTGAACTTGTGTGGGATATGATTCAAAGTCGAGTGACCTCTTTCATCTCATTCTTCACAAAACAAGCAGCTCTTCGGAAGCAAGTATGGGTCAGAAACACATCTCGTCAATAGCGGCAGCTGCTGGGAAAAAACTGGGCTATTAGTTTAGAGCAGAGTTCCCCAAACTTTTTTGTGTCGTAGACCCCTTGCCATGTTTTCCGTGTTGGGTAGACCCCCTACTTACCTGATATTGATTTCCTGTAAATTTCTAACTGTAGTGAAGTTTAGTGTTAAAAACTTAATGTAAAAACACATGTTAATTTATACATTTATTAATTGAATTTAAATTAAAACTACTCAAAATAAAATTTTGTATCTGTTATGTAAAATATACGTAACATTAAATAAACAGGTGTCTGACCAATAAGTGTCCGCATTGGGAATAAGTGCCTGCATTGAAAAAAAATAAGAGGGATAAAATAAAAAAAAAGTGAAAAATAATAAAAAAAAGTTTTTTACTTAAAATAGTACAATAAGCGAGTGTGTTTATTAATTATAACATAAACGTATGTTCTACAATAATTTCACTGTTAGTTTGATTAAATTCCGCTTCTTATACGTTTAAGTTATCTAAAAATAGGCAAAACATTAACGAATTTTAGTGTGTACCTATCCTTGAATTTTCAGAATAATTTAAAAAAAATATATTTTCTATAAAGGGGGGTTCTTTAAAAAAATCAATGCGGGCACTTATTCCCAATTCGGGCATTTATTGGTCAGACACCAATAAACATAAAATAAACTATAAATAAAATAACATAAGTCAATATTTTTAGTGAGAAGGATGAACCTGATGCTTTAATAATAAATTATCAACATTTGGCGTCAATTTTGTAAGGGTAAATCTTAAATCTCCTCGGCTAATGATGTCCAGTCTGTTTCTCTTTTTCGTTAGGAGATTGGTAACAGCGCTGAACCCCCTTTCCACTAGGTATGACGATGGAAAGGAAATTAAAAATTTCCTCGCTATATTCCATAATACGGGATAAGTAACGGGTATGTTGTTTTGCAGCCAGAATTGCTGATATCCGTTTCTAAACTGCACCTTAAGTTCTTCGTTTGTACTTAGTTCAGTCAGTTCCTCTTGTATTATGACATTCGTTTCTTCTATGTCACCATATGGATGAATTATCCACGGTGGTATTACCATAGTCAAAATATCCTCAAATCTAGATTCAAAATCTGAATAGAGGGCATTTAAATGTTGAACGTAAGTTGAAAAGTCGTCTTCCTGGCAGCTTGTCTGTGACAAATTGGGTAACTGAGAAAATTCGCCCCGTCCAATATTTTGCTTCATTAGTTTAACTCTGGCAAGAATCGCTGATAAGATGGACTTTGTTTTAATCAAATTTAAACTGTCGCCTTGTAATTGCATTAACCATATTAAATTTTGTAAACAAATCTGTTAAATAGCCGATGTCTGTTTTCCTCTTCATTAAATTTTCTTTTAAAATTTAGTATCCAGAAATTATAAAATAGTCTCAAAAAGTGCAAAAAATCTTGTCAAACATAAGCCTTTCGACAGCCAGCGTACTTCAGTGTGAAGGAGTAATTGATGAAAGTGTTCGTCATTTTCTTCACACAACTGCGCAAATAACCGCGTATTCAACGCGTTGCTTCGGATTCGGTTTACTTCATCAATGACTAAATGAAGTGATTCATGCAATCTGACACTCAAATTTTTAGCAACTAAATGTTGTCGATGGATGACGCAATGTATTGCTAACACTTCTGACACATTTTGTTTTAAATAGCTTATAAATCCACGATAACGTCCAACCATGTCAGGTGCTCCATCAGAAGCTACTAATATTATATTTGATAAAGGAATTGCTTTTTCAATGAAGTAATCCTTCAAAACATGAAATACTGATTCACCTCTAGTGTCGGTTATCAAAGTTCTTGCAAAGAGCAGTTCTTCGTAGATTTCTTGATTCATAATAAAACGAACATATGCCAATAATAATGCTGCATTATCAGGTAAAGTTGACTCGTCCAGTGGTATAGAGAAATGGGTCGTTTGCAAATAATTACATAAGAAGCTTTCAATATCAGAACTCATTTCATCAATACGTTTTTCAACAGTATTGTTTCTTAAGGGAATTCTTTTAATGATATCAGATGCAGGTTTGTGTGAAACAGTTTTTAAAACCTCTTCAACGGCTGGCAAAATTAACTTCTCTCCGATAGTATGCGGTTTTCCGGATTTTGCTATAAGTAACGAGATATTGTAAGACGCCCGCAAACCATCATCATTTCTTTGTGACATTCTGTCCAGTGTAGGTCTCTTCTGAAATTTATAATAATAATAATAATAATAATAATAATAATAATCGTCTTTATTTAAACTGTACTTCATACAGAAAAACAAGAGTTGCATATGGTGGCAAAGTTTAGCAACATGCTACTCTTACACTTAACCACCCATGCAAAAAAAACAAGTTAAGTAGCAGATATCAAACAAAATATACATATATACATAGACATGTACATACATACATACATATACACACATTACATACGTACATGTTGCACCAAGGTTTGCTACATGTACACAAGGGAAAAGAATCATTTAACAATATATCTATAGCAATCTAATTAAGACTATGGATCCAAGTAAATATGAGATTTGACAGCTTTCTTGAAGCAATTTAAGGACATGATTTTGAATTCAGGACTCAAGGCATTGTATAACACTGAAGCCCTGTACGTGAAAGAACGCTGGAATAAAGTAGTGGAGTGAATAGGTGTAGTTATCAAATCTGGAAATCTAATAAGTCTATGATGAATATTACGCCTAAAGATCAGCTTTTCTCTTAAGTATATAGGTTTTGACATAAGGATTAGTTTATGAATAAAAACAAGGTAATGATATTTGACAATATTTTTTGTTATCATCCAGTTTAATTCAATAAGACTACCAGAAACATGGTCAAAGCGCCTTAAACCGCAGATGAACCTAGCACAATTGTTTTGCACAATTTGAATCCGATTTCTAGTAACAACATTGAGACACGGATAATATAAAATATCACAGTAGTTGAAAATCGGCATAACCAAAGATGAACACAGTTTTTTCCTTAGCTTATAATTGAAAATTGCTTTATTGACATATAGTGATCTCAGTCTCAAGTAGGTTTTCTTCAAAAGATTTTTAACATGACTGGTGAATCTAAGTTTGAAATCGATTATCACGCCAAGAATTTTAACCTCGTCAACGGGGTACAGTCGTTGAGATCCAATTTTAATAGTTAATCGACTTTTAATTTCTTCCCTCCTACGATCCGAACAAAAAATAACAGGCTGGATTTACCAGGATTTATTGACAGGTTGTGGTTATTCGAGAAGTCATACACTTTTTGAATATCATGGTTTATTGATGTCTGTGCCATTTCCATATCATCAGTATCAAAATAATGGACCAGTTGAGTATCATCCGCAAAAGACTGGAGTTCACAAAAACTCACAGCTTTAGGCAGATCAGCAATATATATCAAAAACAACAAGGGACCCAAAACAGACCCCTGGGGTACTCCAGACGAGATTTCTAGAAAACTAGATTTATTGTTTTCAATTGATACACACTGCGATCGATTTGATATATAATTTCGGAAAAAGTTCAATGCAATTGGATCTATGCCATAATACTTCAACTTTGCTATTAACAACTCATGATTTATTTTGTCAAATGCCTTGGAATAATCGATTGACATCACTGCTACGCCCATTTTTTTATCAAGTGCTCTAATAATATTATCCACTAAGTTTAAGAGGGAAGTAGTAGTACTGAAAGATTTCCTAAAAGCAGACTGATCTTTGAGTGTTTGAAAGTATTTCAAATCTTTCTCTGCTTTATCAGGGTGGCATCTTCTCAGATGATCTTGCAGTTTAGATGGTTTCATAGCGTCATTGCCCAAAACTTTGTTGCATAAAAGGCACATAGGCGATTGTTTGTCCGGCAATGATGGAATGAAGCCAAATTTCAAATAATCAACACTGTACTGTCTACATTTCTTTTTAGATTCGGACATGGCATCAGTCATCTGTGAAAATCCAGCAGCTGTATATTAAAAATATTTTTTGATTTTTCCGAAAACATTCCATAATTCGAACATCTTCTTGCAACAATTAGCTCGAATTACGGAGATTGCACTGTAATTATATTACCGATTGCTAAAACTTTCAAAAAGAAACTATTGAGGAGTACTCGTGTAATTTTGCATGATTGAATATTTAACTACTAATAACTAAAGTCATGATTGGCGTAAGTTATCTATCTTTGCTAACCACGAGTACAAAACTAAAATTTAATAAAAAATAATGAACTTACTTTTCTCCAGCACTCTCAAACAAAACAACACTGACTCACTATAATTTGTGTGATATACTATCTGTTTATATTTTTTAAAATATTTGCTTAGCACTTTCCTTTTCAAGATTCAGGAAACGAATAAACGTATTTGTCCCACATTCGTATTTATAGAGTGACGAATTGAACAAATCAGTGCAAGGTAGCGAAGCTCTGAGACTGCGACTCTCAGGTTTTTACAAGTTCAAAATGTATTGCGACCACAAAGCAAATACCAACATCCTACAACTTACACAATTTTATAAACATATATAATAAATTTTTTACTTCATAGGTACTTTTATAAATAATGTATATGTTTTGATATTATAAGATAGTATGATGTAAGTAAATAGGTACTATCAGTGTATGTGTTGAGATCCACTATCGTGGACCCCCATATTCATTTCATGGACCCCCAATTTTTTTTTTGCTGACGTAGACCCCTTGCAGGTTGTCATAGACCCCTAGGGGTCGATATAGACCACTTTGGGAATCAATGGTTTAGAGCTAAGAAGTACTTTTTTCATATGATCTGCTCACTCTGCATAAGGCCCAGATAAGACCTAACATCGAGTACTGCTCACATGTTTGGGGTGCTGCCGCCCCGACTACATTATCCATATTCGATGCTGTTCAGAGGAGGGCTATGCGACTGATCAATGACTCCTCTCTAGCGGACAGTCTCGGGACCCTTTCGCACCAACGGGCCGTTGGGGATCTAGCTCTCTTCTATCGCTACGCCAACGGGCTTTGCTCCTCAGAGCTCTCCTCCATGATGCCGCTGCGCGATGTGCCTATCAGACATACCCGCCTGACTTCAGCCTCCCATCCTATCGGTGTCGCCCTCCGTACATCAAGAACTGGTAGATACGACCGCTCCTTTGTCCTTTCGGTATCGAGATTGTGGAACAATCTACACGAGGAGGTTTTTCCCAGTTCTACTAACCTTAGGCAGTTCAAAAATGGGATTACCAAAATTTCTTTGGCCCCGGTGTCCTGGCTTCTGCCTGCGCAGCTGCTATGGTGTAAAAAATAAAAATCATTTGTTGCAATCTTTTACGCCACTGTGTAAAGTTCGATTACATCCGAGTTCGATATCTGCGTGCTCGAGAGTACAATACAATCGACCGGCAAGACGTTCATTTTAGGCAACTGATAAACCCAGTCCGGCTTTGTTGAATAACCACTCACTCTCCGTACGATTCGCAATTGACCAGTCTCAAATAATCAAACCTTATACGTGCTTAATCTAACAAACGTACAGAATGGCCAATTTCGCCAAATTACAATCGAAAACGAATGTGCACTATGGTGCATTGCCAGTGGCGGGGTTGTATTGCTTTTCTGTTGGCCAAAATGAGTCAAATATTTTAATGAATTCGATACTTCTCATCGCAAATTGTTTAGTGACTGAAATCATGAAAAATGGTGCAGCACTTCTCACTTAGTTGTGAAAAGTTCAGATTAAAAATCAGTGGATAATTGTTCTTGATGTGTCTAGGGCGTAAATGGGCGTTTACAATCGCAGCGTGAAATTAGAGCCCAAGGTAGAAAGCGCTGCCGGTTCTAAGTCTAACTCATCAAGGGACATAAACGCTTGTTATAACCGAGATATTTGCTTCTCAGTGACCGATTGAAATAGTTCTCGAGCTAGCTCTCTCAGGTTAATGGGTAGGAAGATGGTGATACTGCGATACCACTTTATTTATTGAGGTAGAGGCCGATTTACAACTGATAGTGTACAATTCGAAATAAAAATAAAATAGCGTTAAAACAATGTTAGTACGTCCATCGGGCTGAGCGACGATATACAGGGTTTGTCCGGAAAGTAATAGGACTGAGTCGATTTAAAAAAAATATTGAGCCAATCGTTACAATTCTTTAAAAACTTTCAAAATAGGCTCCTTCTGCGTTGATGCAGCGCTGCCAGTGCGATTTCCAAGCATTGAAGGCGTCACGGAAGGCATTATCCGTAATAGCCTTGAGAGCCGCGGTGCATGCTCCTTGGATCCCCTCTGTCGTCTCAAAATGCTTGCCTTTCATCGGCCTTTTCAGGCGAGGAAACAAAAAAAAGTTCGGGGGGGGGGACATCTGGGCTGTAGGGCGGCTGCGGAAGCGTTGGGATGCCGGCCTTGGTCAGGTAGCTGTCCAGTCGGCTGCGATGTCTTGTCGGACCCAGATTTTCGTAAATTTAATATCTGGGCAATTAAACGAATTCATAGTTGACGGTCTGAGTTTAAAACTTTGCGCACACGAGTAGTCACATTATCGGTGTTTGTAGAAGTCGAAAGTCTAACAGCTCGGTCTTCATCAGCGATCTCTTCCCGGCACTCCAAAAAGGCCTGGTGCCACCGAAACACACCACTTCTTGCTAAAGCAACACCTGGGTAAGCCTGCTTGATCATATCAAACGTCTCTGCTGCAGATTTACCGAGTTTCACACAGAATTTAATCGCGTACCTCTGCTCTAACGAACGCTGCATTTTCGGCTTGCACCACTCACAGAAACACGTCGCGCGAAAATGCCCGTCCGGACTCTCCAAGTGCTCGGAGACAACTGACCAGCTGCTCATTCGTTAGCTAGGAACGCCCTCTACCGAATCCAGTCGGTGCGCGCACTCTCCGAAGTACAGTCATGGCGGAAGAAAATGAGTCCTATTACTTTCCGGACAAACCCTGTACGTGCTCCTTCTGCCGAAGCTCATGCCCGTCTCCCCGCGCAAGTCATCCTCCAGGTCTTAACCTGCCTTCCGTTGCACTTTGCACTCTGACTCGCACTCACACATGGTCACGCTGTTGCCGAACCTCTTCACGATTTTGGCAATAGATAGCTAAAAATTACCGTAAGACCGGTTACAAG